AAGTGGAGGTCTAAGGAGCCACAGGGGACAGCAGGCTAAATTACTAGATTTGTCCATTCCACGGGGGGTTCCAATTCCAGTAGACCTTAACAGCTCCCAGCTCAGCAAAAGGGCACACAGAGTAGACCCACTGGCCACAGAGGAAAGGAAGCAAGAACTTGGAAGAAGGTATTTGCCCTGGTGTCTAATGCCACCTTCCCTAGACCTTGGTTGACAGAGCAAAAGCCAACCTGCATGAAAAGGAACACCCACAACACAGAGAAAGATCGAGCCAGGCCTATTGGTCAGAGGGGATTCAATAAACTCAATTATCTCCCTGGACGAGGCAGATTCCTTTCTGATTAGAAATTTTGCTTCTCAAGTAATTTTTAAAATTATAAGTGAATGTCTGAAATGGCAGATATAAATTCTACTCACTGGAAAGGTTAAAAACACCGTTTTAAAATAATACATTGCCATTCTGGTTTATATACAAGTATCTAACTAAGTTACGTTGCTTAGCATATGTCAGTCTCTGAGGAAGACCATGTCATGTAATAGAAATGACAAGATTTGAAGTCACCCATATTGGATTCAAATGCCAATTCAGTCACTCATGACCACGTGTGACTTTGGACATTTTAGTTGAACTCTCTATGAGCCTAAGCTTGCTCCACTTCCTACAAACAAACAAAAACAAAGCATTTGTGGGGATTGAACAAAATAGCATTTATAAAGTGTATAGCACATGGCTTTGCAAGTAATAGGCACTCAAAATGCTAGATGCCTCCTACCTTTGGCTTCTTTCTCCTCAGAGTCTAACCAATCCTTCAGGTGCCAACAAAATCAAGCCTTGATAACTGTGTGAACCTGCTAAAGATGAGATCTGGGTTGTGACAACCCATGAAGGCAGCGCCTTCTGTGGGCTCACCCTGATGCATCAGCTGGCCTGCCTTCTTATGCACGTCTGTTCTTCACTGCTTCACACCCATATGCAGAAATGTGCACCCACGCCTAGCAACACTCAGGCACCATTGGGAATAATATATATTTGGTTTAAAGAAACTCTCATAGGCCCTGCCATTTCGCACAAAACACATTAAAGACAGAGA